ATTGCTTACCACAAGCACCACTATTGCCCTAGCCAGAGTCATACTTGTCCTGATTCACARCCAGCGTCTGCAGCACATACGACAGCCTTGCTCCAAGTGGGCAGAGTTCTTGTCACTTAATTGCTGCACTAGAACTACAATTAGAATTGGAGTATGATCGGAATTAGGCCTGAACCTCAACCCATGGGAGGTATTGTTAGGAAGATAGGACCATGCATTATTACTATTGCCTTTCTTGTATCCTCACTTATCTATGGCTAAGTACTCATGAGAAATTAAATGACCAAGCATAAAGACCTAGCCTCAGAGGCCATGTCTGCTACTTCCTGCTTCCCATAGAGTGGGCTAGACCTGGACTCTTCTGAGAAGAATCTCCCTTATGTTTCCTCAGCAATCCCCAGCCCTGTGCCACCACCCATGGGACTTTGGGTTGCAACTTCCAGGCTATGATGCCTATTGCTGCCCTTTCATGGAGACATTTTTTTCCATCAGAGCCATTTAACATCTTTGTTTAATTTCCCAAAGGCCCCCACCTAACCCCAGCAAGTCGCTGGGGGGAATTATGCACCCCACACTGCCCAATTAGCCACCAATTTACTGGCAGAGCTGTGTCATTAAGAGGAGAACATTCAGGCAGGGTCCTTGCTTCTCTGTCTTCCCCTCCCCCACTCCCCAGGACTCAATTGATATCTGTTGAAGCACCTTGTGATTTAAACTATCAGAATCCAATGCTGAGGAACAAGGGCAACTCATTATTCATTTGATTCATTTATTGAGGATCTAGTACATTCCTCCTTCTAGCCATTTCTAACTATTAAAACACATTTTTAAGTTTGAATTTATTAGTAGAGAAGCATATAAAAATATAAATCCTGTTCATAACAGAAAGAGTAGCATATGTGGAAACAAAACKTGTTCCAACTCTTCTCTTCTTGTACAGGGAAACTTCCTGGCAAGTTGTATAGATGAGTGGCTTAAAGGGCCATCTTTTTTTTTTTAATTGGGCATTTTATTAAGAGAACTTTTAGACAAATCCAGAAACAGGTCTACACATTATCCTCAAACATTTCTCACAGACCTACCAACTTAAAGGACCATCTTGAGTGATAGCCATGGAAGTTTTCCTATCTTTGGGAATATTGAAAAGAAGAACTTTGAAAGATTCCAAAGGCACAGTACAACTGATAGGAAGTGAAGGCAGGAAAATGCCCCAACTAACTCCATTATTATAAYGTAAGAAGATGTATGTTCTCTAGAATTCATTTCCCATTGGAAATTGGGTCCACATGGTCCTTCTCTCCACTCACAATTTACCACATTCTTTGTGTCTTGTGCATCCTGCTGGTGGAATATGCTATGAAAAGTGTGTTAATATCAAGCTCTTGCAGCCACAGGCAGCCTGGGAAGGCCGACACTCCATTGAGATGGACCTTCTCCCCCAAAACAAATCCTTGGACTTCATGAAGAGGACAGTACAGCTGCTGATGAGAAGAAATGTTCCCATTTTCAAAAGTGTCCTTTGTAAATATGGCTTATGTAAAGTCTTCACAGGACCTCAACACATCCAGAGCTTCAAGTTATAAGAGGCTGACTTGGTCCACATCTCCAGGCAGAACTTTCTATACTGCTCCAGATCCGTGTTTCTCAGTACCTTGAACATTCCATGGACAGCTCAGATTTGAACTCACCCCACTGGGCAGGTGACTGTGTATGTATGTACGTGTGTGCAAGCACATACACACATTCATTCTGTCTCAAATCTATATGCTAGYAAATTTTATACTTGAACATTCAATGATAGGTTCTCAGGCTAGCAATCAGAAACATAGCCACACTATCTGAGACACAAACAGGCCAGTTTTGTTTGTTAGAATTTGGAATATTTGAAAATCATGTCAAGACACAGTTTTCTTTTGCTCTGCCACACCCAGGCAATTGCTTTCCTCTTGGCTGTACCCCATGGACTGTCGTGTGCCCTCTCCTACCTAGAGCTCTGTCTCCAGGTAGTACAAAGCACCTCTGCCCCAACACAAGGGTTCCAAAAGGCTGATCTACAGAAGTCAGAGAAACTTTCAGACGAGATCAAGCGCGTTCAAGGTGGTATGGCCATAGACCATCTGTGAAACTTTCAAAAACTAATGATGCCCATGTTATCCCCCAAGAAATTTGGATTTAAGAAGTCTGAGCTGAGACTTAGTCCACCCTGGAAACCATCAAAGAATTCACTCTGAGAACTAGTCACAACACAAGAGAATGATTTGCTTTGTGACTCCCACAGATTTGGGACCATCCTTCCTATTCTCACAAGTAATAGCTGTGTGTATACTTTGATAACCCCCCAAAGCAAGTACATACATGGAATACATGCACATGCACACACAAATAAACACATGAACACACATAAGCACATACTCATGCACACAGACATATGTGACACATATACGTACTGCACTTGTGTCCTGGCACATCACTTCCTGTTGTCTCTACAACTAGTCATTCTTGAAGCAATTATTCACTAAGCCATTAGGAGCTCCAGACTCTGGTCCAGTCTTTCCAGATCCTCCTCTCTTCTCATGCCCACAGTGGCCTCCTAGCTGGTCTCCCTACCTCTGGACTGTCCTCTGCGCTTCTGGCTCAGTGGTCTCTGAAAATGCACATTGGAGTCACCAAAATGCCTTGACCCCTCCAAGGACTGACTCCACGTGAAGCTCAAACCTCTCAGCTCAGGAAATAGTGCTCATCCCAGCATCAGGGCTCTCGTCAGTCCCTCCTCCCTGCATGCTCCACCACATAAACTATTTTTGTTCCTGATCYTTGTCCCCAGGTAGGATTATTTTCTTAACCTAAAATGAAATCACTAGGTCAAAGGTATGACTATTGTATACACAAATTTACAGTTCCCCTAGAGTCTATGGGTTCTGGAGATGATCATTTAGAAAACAGGGCAAATCCAAAAATCAAACTAAAACTTTACAATTTGATAGATCATAAACTATCATTATACTTTGAACTTTCAATTCTTGGATTATGGGTAAAAAATTTTATCTTCATTGCCTATTTTTATTTCTGCTTCTGTGTTCTGAACCTTGACCTATTACATGTCCTCTTTCTTCAATAAAACCTTTTTCCTAACCCAATGGTTCTGAAGTATGGCCACCTGACCCTCAGCATCAGCATCCTCCAACAACTTGTTAAGAGCACAAAGACCTATGAACCTGAGACTATGGGATGGGACCTAGCCATCTGCTTTAGCCCTCCAGAACTACAGCCCACCCGTCCACATTGAGCTGGAGCCTAAGTGGACCATCATACGTGGGGAGGGTGTTTCTATGAAGGGACCACCTTGCCTGATGGCCAGTCTTAAATAGAAAATGGAGAAGACCCCAAGCTGTGGTCTGGCTGACTTCACCTCTCTGGGCCTCGATACCCTCATCAGTAAAATGGGGTAGTAATATGACCCATTACATAGAGTTGCTTTAAGAATTAAAGTTTCAATACCTGCTGAGCACTTAGCATAATTCCCAGCACACGCCCTTACTCTGTGTCTGGGTATCACTGCAGCTGCTGTGGCCACTTAAATGACCACAAACTCGTTATCCTACTCCACTCTTCCCCCTTGTCCTTCAGGTATCTTCTGGAAGATATAGGCTGGACCTTCAAGAAACTTGACTGTTTGGAAGCAGGAAGGAGTTTGTGTAATCAATGTCAAACATAATGCACCACTTTTGTTCCCTCCCCTTTAAAAACATGCCTCTCTTTCCTCCTTTCATTGACCCAGTCCAGCCCTCCCAAACTGTACATACTTCTGCAGGTCATTGGGGGGTTAAAAAAAAACATAGGAGAACAAATACTGGAGAAGTTCTTGAATTCATCCTAGGAATACCAAATATTTATACAGGTTAAACATGGATTTGATTCTAAAACATTTTATCCTATTCTACCTCTTATAGCAGTCTTCTGATTGATGGTCAATATGAATAACTTTAAGAGGCGGTCCCAGTACCAAACAAGCTTGTGAAAAAGCTCTTAGAACTAGGTGATTTGAGTGAACTTGTGCCACCATGGATCGTGAGTCTTCCTGAGTGAAAAAGCATATTCAGGCTCCCACTGTTCTGACTCAGCCCCTCCCACCCCACACTGCAAAGGAGGGTCTCAGAGGGCTGGTGTTCCATGGAGAATGCTTTAGGAAATGTTGTCTTATTGGAAATGAAAAATGACTTCCAGGAGTTAGCAATCTGAGAGAACGAACTGAGAAAGAAATTTTCTCCTGCTGGCCAAAGAGTTGTTAGTGAATAGATTGGAGAAATAATACTGCATAAGATGTTATGTATCAGAAAGAACTTTAAGTACTAAAAGAGAACTTTTCTCTTTTCAAAGAAAGAAAATGAGGGGCTGGGTTGTGGCTCAGTGGTAGAGACTTGCCTAGCACCTGCAAGGCCCTGGGTTTGATACTTAGCACCACATAAAAATAAATAAATAATAAAGGTATTGTGTCAACCAAAACTAAAAAATATTTATATAAAAAAAGAGAGAAAATGAATTTAACATGTGATTCTGCAATCTGTATACGGGGTAAAAATGGGAGTTCATAACCCACTTGAATCAAAGTGTGAAATATGATATATCAAGAACTATGTAATGTTTTGAACAACCAACAAGAAAAAAAAAAGAAAAATGAACTGAATGCTGTCCTGCCTCACTTCCCCCTCCACAAAACTCCTAACGAGATAGTTATCTGGGGTGTTTTCCAAAAGAAGAGACTTCCTGGGTTTGTCCAAGACTGGGAACTTTTTAGAGTAAGGAAGTGATGATCCCTTAATACTGTCTTCCCTGTGAATATTCCAGATGGTGACCTCTGTGATCATCTGCTCTAACCTGGATCTTCTCATTTTTCTTCCTCCGGAAACTTGAAAATGTAATAACCCTAATTTTTCTCTCCCTCCCTCTCCTCTTCCCTTTCCCTCTGTTTCCCCACCCCAACTTTTCCCCTTGTTCTCCAGGAACCTTCTGCATCATTTCACTGTGCACCTGTGTGGCTGGGATCAACTTTGAGCTGTCACGCTACCCACGCTACCTGTATGGACTCCCCGATGACATCAGCCACGGCTATGGATGGTCCATGTTCTGTGCGTGGGGGGGCCTGGGCCTCACACTAATCTCGGGATTCTTCTGTACCTTGGCCCCTTCTGTCCAACCTGTCCCGAGGACCAACTGCCCTAAATCCAGACCCGAGAATGGGACAGTGTGCTAAAAAAACAAACCCATACATATATATATATATATAAATATATATATAATATACATATATAAAACAAAACTCAATCAAGACGATGCCAGTGCCAAGGTAGAGTTGAGTTGGCTCAGGCACCTGCATCTCGCCGGACTTTGTGTTGCCTCATCACCAAGATGGGGAAAGTGTTCCCATCCTGTGGCTCTTCCATCGATTCTTGACTTTTGGCTTCACAGTTTCTTGAAGACAAAGCAAACATCACCACCTGCGATGGCATCTCGATCCCCGTCACTCATGAGCACATGGTGGGGAGCTGGAAGGGACAGTGGCAGTGGTCTGGAGCAACCCAGATGTGAGAAGGAAGTGCCACGCAMTGGGCCAGCAGGAGAGGACACCACCCCACGGACATACCCCAGGGAAGCGCGGCCCCCTAGTTCATAGAGCGGAACCACATCTTCAAGGCCATTTTCAGTACCACTCCTCCTGCTCTTCCTGTCTGAGCTCCTTCCTGGCCCACCAGCAACACACAAGGAGTAGACGAGAAAACAAACCAAGAAGGAAGTTTTCTCTCTGTGGCCAAACTTTCGGACAAAATTTTAGAGGTGGGAAGGGGAGAGAACATGCTGAGAGGCAAGATCCACACCAATAAAAGGACACTTCAGTGGATGCTCAGAAAGCCCAGTCTTACCTTCCAGCTGCCTTACGCCCAGTAAACAAGAGGCCACCCCGTCCTCCCCACCTGCACTCCCTGGGCAGAATCAGAGCCTTGGAGTAGTGGTGTGATGTGGTGTGAGTGTGTGTGTGTATGTGTGTGTGTGAACATTGGGTGGTTTCCTTTATTTCTTTTCCGCCTTTTCAGTGGAAATATTGCATTTTGACCATTGTCTCTCTATCACTATTGGTGGTTTCACGGCTGAGATGGAAGCCCAGATTCCTAGAAAGTATGAGAGGCAGGCCTCTATGGATGCCAGTCCTTGGTGCTGCAGCTGCAGATGCTTGAAGAAAAACAGAGAGAGACAGAGAGAGAGAAAGAGAGAGAGAGAAAGAGAGAGAGAGAGAACGCACATGTGGTGGATGCTGCCTGAGTGGGAGGTTTTATTATCTGTGTTGCATTTTTTCTATTACTTTGGGTACAACAGAAATTCCCAGAGAGCAGAACCGAGAACAAAACCACTGGGCCAGAGGACCCTGTGGCTCTGCACATTACAGTTCTGGATCGCCACAGGATCTAGTCCTCTAATTTTGGAAGTTCAAGACACAGCTGGGCACAAAAGCCATGAGAGAAGAGGGGGGAACACACAGTTCAGGAGGGAGAAGGAATGTCGCCTCTGGTTGCTGTTGTACAAGTACGTATACCAAACAAGACCTTCACTCCCCGTCATGGGGGCTGTCCTTTGTCACTGGACATCTACCCCTTTCCTAGGGGTAACGTCTGTACAGATGAAGGAAAACGAGTCACATGCAGAGAGAACACCTCCATTACCCATGGGCTCAAATTTGTATGATATTGTGTAAATTAATGGAGAACTCTTGACTTTCCATCTTCTTCCCTTTCCTCCTGCTATTCAAGGCCATGAATCCCAAAATAGTTGTCTTAGTAGCTAGCACCCAAACAGAGGTGAAATAAATCCACCCCGGTGTCTCAGGCCCACTTGAGCAAAATGGCGAGGCAGGTGCTGGGGAGTGGAGAGAAATCAGAGTTGTGGATGCTGTAGGGCCGGAGTAGCTCAGTCACCTCAGGGGCCCTGCTGGTGCCCAGCAGCCCCAGGGGAAGCAGGGAGAGAATCCCTGAGCTGAGGTAGCCACAGTTGACCTTGCAGCAGAGAATCTAGCTGTTTAATAGCTCATATACTTTGGGAACTTTGCCAACACTCAGCAGCCTGCCTTCCTCATTGCTGTTTCTTCACCTGTCTTCCAACCAGCTCTCCCCTCTTCTTACCTACTGACCACTGGCCCTGGCATCTTGCATCCGTGTAAGTCCAGCCTGTCATTTGCTCTTCTTGACGGCGTGTGTGTAATCCATATCTGGCTATGACATCTGATGTGCGTGAATGGGCTTGAGTGTAGATGCTGTGTGTCTCTCTGGTGCATTTTGCTTGTCTGTGTTAGTACAYACCTGCACGCAAGTGTGGATGCCCTACTCAAGACTCCCTCTCCAGGGAGCCCAGTCAGCTTCTGCAAAAGGTCTAGTGTGTGAGTGCCCTTGGTATGGGTGTGSCGGGCGATGGAGGAGAGCTGGGTAGAAAGAAGTGCTGTTGGCTTCTGATGGAGGTTCCAAGGATGGTTTTTAAGACCCATAGGAGAAGGGAAGTCATTTTCAGGAAACCCTAGTTTTTTAATTGGGAATTTTATTTTCATTTTTCTTTGAAAGTTTGATCTCTCCCTTTAGGGAAATGGCATACTTGGGAGAGGGGAAGAGTGGGAAAAAAGTATCTCAGATTGAGAAGCCTTGTGACTTTTTACCAAGCACCTTGAATTAGACAGGGGGAGCAAGTATCTGTGAGCATCCATTTGGGGCAGAGGTTTATCTGTGACTAGATGCAAATTCCAGCTGCTTTCCAGTTGCAGAAAAGTGGGGGAAACAATTCTAAATGGGAAAAATTTCTATCAACTGTTTAAACTTCTTTAGGAACCATTTTTGAAGACACTAGCTCATAGAACTAGCATTATTTATACCCTCTTTTTCTATACATACTTGCTACAAGTATATCATCTGCCCAATCCAGTACTTATCTTTGTGTTGAAACTTTAGTGAAATTTACTGCATCCCTTTGAAATTTGAGCATCCCTGAGATGTCAGAAGGACTCTGGGGAAGTAGAGCATCTGTGTCATCTCCACATCTGCAGAGCAGGGCCTTTTAGCTCTCTGATATTGGGGCCAGAAAGGTACAGATGCAAGCACTCTGGGGTCTGTCCCGCTTGCGAACAGTAACATGGCCAGGCTCACGGTCAAAATGGAAGCCCCTGTCTAGGAGGCAAGTCCTAGCCCATAGGAAGAGAGCCCAGGGGACTTTGATTCTCTCAGCAAAGGGGCTTGACCATAGATTTAAACCACACCCYTCCGAGCAGTTCCTGAAGCCTCCTGACTGTGAGGCAGCTGAGSAAGAAGCAAAAAAGAGACCTGACCTGTGAGTCTTTCAAAGCCAGACGCTGCTAACTCCAAATTGAACTAGAACCAAACCTAAAGAGGGGCTTAGGGTCAGTGGCCTCTATAAGACCCCCAGTTCCCATCCAGGTCAAGTTCAGATTCCTTATGGCGTGTGCGTGCAAGCATGTTATCAAGCTTATGCTGTGAGCTCCATGCCAGCCAACCTTGAGCACAGGGCCCATTTCAACTTTTATTTATTTTTTCTCCCCTCCAAGATTAGGGATTCAGAAAAGTGGCATGTTTGCCTAGAGAGAGATCCCATTTTTCTCTCCCCTCATTTTGGGAGTTATGGTTTCTTCTCTTTGTACCCTCTTCTACTTGCCTCTGAACCTACCTTAGTCAGCTAAAATAGTTAAGTACTTCATTTCTAGAAAGGGTAGAGATAGACTCCAAGTAGCCCCCATCTTTATTTGTTATGGCTTTAGGTTTCATAAGGAAGTCTGTGGCTCACCGGCTTCAAAATTTAAAAAATGAAAGACTGCACCCATTCCAGTTTCAGCCTTCCCACAAGTCCTAGTGTTTCAGCAACTCTACCCTTTGACCTCTAGGGATTATGAAGTCACAAAGATTGGACAGCTCCACCAAATCAAGACCAGCCTTCCTGGACCTCACATCCCTGTGTAGTGCTCTTGGTCCTGGCGCCATGTTGGTCTATTCTCCCACTGGGCATTTCCACCCAGCAGTGCTTCCTTTCCTTCCAAGAGGAGAGGGTACCTGGAGACTGTCTCTCAGTATTGGTCCATACTTATGGTAAAAGGCCTGGCATGAAAGCATCATGTGGGGTTGTCCTGATTTAGTGGAAGAATGTGCAGTTTAGGATTCCCAAGATGTCTACCTGAGCCAATGTCAGACTTCAAAAAATCAAATAGATCATTTAGAGGCATTTAGAAAGGAACATGTTCACCTAGCTTATGCTGAGAGTGTTCATGAACTGATTTGCAAGAATCCAAGGGAAGAAGTGGGGAGAAATACACTCCCTAGTCATTCTTTGGTGTGATTTATGTGACACTCGGTTGTTTCTTTCAGTTCAAGTGAAGCTGCTTTTCTGAAAGTGTTCTGTCTGCTCCTGGGACTAAGCATCCCCATGAACACATCCAGTGCTGTCCTGGTAAATGTGATGAGTCAGAGTGAGAGGTGATTTCAGCACATAGAGAAGCCATTGGTGTGTACCAGCTGGACCGGCTTTGGTGCTGTCTTCCAGTTGGCATGGCAGAGAAAGGGAACTGATTTTTAAGCAAGCCCACCACAGAGTTGATGAACACAAGTGATTCTAATATCTCTCAGAGCCATTGACTTCTGGAATTGTATTTGGCATCTTTCCATTGATTCTGCCATGGTGTAAAATGTTTCTTAAACTTGATTTCCGGTTCTTAGAATATGTTAATATCAGCTATTGAGCTTTTTCTCCTGAGTAATACATGCTCATTGTAGACATGTTTTTTTACTTATAAAAGTGAAAAAAAATGCTACAATTTTGTCCATAATTCCATCACACTGTCATCTATGGTGTACCCGGTCATAATGGCCGTGGCCCCAAACCTCTCTAATGCATGGTTTTCTCGGGATTGGCAGATGGGACTATGAGGACATTTTATGGCCACAGAACCACACTGTTCTGCATCACGTTGACTCTCTGTTCTTGGCATTAGGAGCACAGGTTCTGAGCCCCCAGAACAAAGAGGCCTATGAAAGCTCAATACTAGAAGGTGGAACAGGACTAAAAGTTTCCTGTTTGGGGATTTACTTCTCTCTCTCTCTCATATATATGTATACATATATGTATATATACACACACACACACACACACACACACACACACACACATCTCCCCTACTTGTTCTTTTTTTCCTCCAGGTGCCATCTCAATCTAATCATGGGTGTAAGAGCACTGAAGCCAGAGTAACTCACTAATTAAGCTACACTTGTATAATGAATCTACTGTAAATTTTATTTCTGTTCTGCACTAAAATGATTTGACTCTGGGCACTGTGTCTTCTCCATACTTGAACTTCCTCAGCTACAATGTGAGGATGGTGATAACACTTTACCTCATGGTATACTAAGGGTGACATTTGCAAACATGAAGTGCTGTATGAATTACGCACAGTTCAAGTTATCTACAGCAGCAGCRCCCTCACTGAAATGGAATTCTTGCATCTAGTTTCCGTGCCTTGCTGTTAAAGGGATAAGAGAGAGAGGTCATCTTGGTTGCTAAATAGGACTTTACCTGTCCACCAGAAGCGCATGGGATCATCTTCTTCATTCAGACCCTCCAGAGAAATTGGCTCCTGAATTTACTTCATGTGTTCCCAGATTCTTTCCTATCATCCCAAGGCCAATTTTGCAAAGGGCACTGTTGTCCCTCTTGCTTATTCCCGGAGAAGATGGAACACATAAACCATGAGCTGAAACAGTTAACTTTTAACCAAAGCATGTGGTTAATGCCTCGTTGTTTGTTTTGACCAGTTCTAGCATTATTTCCAGCTGTACCTACCCAAGTGGTAGGAACAAGTTAGGTTCTGAAAGGTTTAATGATTTTTAAGTTTAGGATGAGAATAAGTTTCAAGGAGCTAGGACCTGCTTTCTCTTGCCCACTGGAGAAGCCCATGACTTCATTGGAAGCCTCCAAGTTTTTGCAGGGAGTCCTCTGGGTGGGACACACACTGGGACATGTTCTAAGTATGATCTTGTTTGGGAAAAACTGAATCCTAGATTCTAAATGAGAAAAGAATGTACTCCCAAAAGGGTCTGTGCACTTTATGCTTTGCAGTGGATCGATGTTGTGTTGAGACCTTCTCTTAGGGAAGTTCAAAAATTGCCATTGATATAGCCCAGCCAGGAATGGGGGAGACTGCCCAGCACAGGGGTGTTTGTTCAGTGCTGAGAAATCTGGGTCGCACCTGGGATTGCCCAGCCGCAGCTCAACCTGGCATCCCTTTGACAGACGCCAGCCTCTCCTCTCCGTTCCCAAGGACTGGTGTCGCTTCCTGAGGAACTCTGTGTCCCTCTCTCTCTCCTGGATCCCAAGCATTCCATTCCTTTCCTTTCTGGGTGGCCCTCAGACCCTTCCTCGTCCGTGTGTACCGGTGTGTCTGTGTCGTGCGTGTGACGATGCCGTTTACAGAGTCCTCTCCGGTATCGCCCATCCCCCTTGCCCATCGCCACCCCCGGTGTGACTGTTTTGCTATTCAAGACTCTCTGTAAAAATGTACAATAAAAGTGGA